TTCAATGTTCAGCTGCAGGAAAAAACTTTGACCTATTGGTCTAGCATCCAACACAGCCCTGGTAGGTTTATAGGTCAGCATATGCCATCATCAATTTGTGGCTAAAAGAGAGTCTAGAGGGCTACAACTTCATTTTTATGGGAACAAAGTTCCTTCTTTCTTGCCAAAAATTCAGCATTCGTACTCAAAATAAATGAATATCTCATAACACTTTCATAATTATAAGTAAACAGCTTCAAATTATTTATTTACATTTAGTAATTTGATAGATTTAAATAAATTAATGTATGGATTTATTATTTATTTAATATTATTATATTTTAACATTTTTTCAACACAAAAATTAACATTTTTCACCTATTTTCTGGTGATTTTATTTTATTGATTTTAAAATTGTGTAACCAACAAATTAAACTGGAAAAGTTACAAAGAATCTACTGAATATTTTTTCTAAATTTAATTAGCAACATTTCCTTTAATATATTCACATATTTTGCATTCCTTACTGCCATATGCAACATTTTCAGTGCATACATAATTCGCTCAGCTCAAATCAGCTGGCGGCGCGGTCTCCTTACATTGCCCAGCCAGCTATTAAATTCAATTATTGCCTCCGAACAATATTGAATCAACAGTAGACTGGCGGAGAGATGAGAGCTCTACAAGCAGCAGCAAAAGGAAAACTTAAGACCTTCTGCACAGCTGTCGTGTAAATATTTAATTTACGAAATTCCATAATAAAATGTTCCTTCTGGCTGCTCCTTTAAGGCAGCTGGGGTTTTCATTTCGCATGCCAATTGTTTGGCAAGTGTCAAAATAATAACAAGCCACCCCCAGAAGTCCAATGCTGAACCCGACCTCAGGACCTCAGGACCTCAGGACCAACCGCCCCTCAGCCCCGTGGGTGCATGGCATACCAATGCCAAGTGTCAAAATATTTCGGCAATTTTTTTATGTTAATTTCGTATTAATAAAATAAATATTAAATCAGAGCGCGGCGAGGGATGTAGATGAGGGTGACAAATGACAAATGACAAATGTCTCGGGCGGTGGCGGCGGCGGCGGCGGGGGCACGGGCACAACGACGACTATATTAGAGACCAAAACCACTAATTTATCCCCAGAGAAAGTTAAGGAGGGAGAGGAAAGGAAGAGTGCCGGCAGCTGTTGCCCTCCATTGAACCCACCCTTACACCAGCAGGGGGTTGGCTTTGATTGGAGCTTTCATTGTGCAGAGAAGTTCCTTCCCTCAATTTAAATTTCATAAACTTAAAGATCCCTTAGCCAATTTTGCTATTTGTTGTTATTATTAAATTCTTACACTCTCAAGTCGTTGATTTTTATGGGCTCTGCGGCATTTTCTTTTTTAATTGTTATGGAGCACAGCGAACCCCTTTGGCATTGGCACTGGCATTGGCAGCGGCTGCTTAGCGGCTCATTAGCCAAAGTTTTATGTCTCAGGCCATAATTTGTAGGTACTGGCTGGATGGTAGTAAAAGTTTTTTGGTCATAAACATCAGCGCAGCGAGAAGCTTGAGAAGGAAAAGAAGAGCGAGCCATAGAAAGCTGATTCCGTTTTCGTCGGTGTTTTGAGCATACAATTTCGAGTCTAGGGAACGAAGGGAAGGCACATAATTGCAGCAATTTTCAATGTTAATTTAATATAATTTAACGCTTGATATGAAAGGGAAATGACACTGGATATCATAGCCGAAGGGCGTAAATAAGCGCAAAGGAAATGCGAAGCCTCAGATAAATACTTTGAAAAGTCTTTGGAAGTTTTGCAGATGCTTAAATTGTATCTATTTTGGCTTAGAAAATGTCGTCAAATTATTAAAAAATGTTTCGTATTTCGCCTTAAACAGGTAGCACTCCCATGGATCCAGTCCCACTACGACCAGTACCAAAATGTCTCTCTGAAACGACAATGGTTTCCCCCTTTATGCATAGTTATCTGCCCCCAATGTCCCCCCTTCTCTGTACTCGCTGATCCCCGGAATGTGCAACATCGTGTGTCTGCAACGGAAACTACTTGTTGGGTTAATGACATCGTTAAAACAGCTGAAGCTGCTGCTGTTGCTGCCACTGCCACTGCTGCAGATGCTGTATGCCGTGCGAAAAACTGACACTGTACCTCCAGCAGAGGCCATAATAATTAAGCCCCCTGCCTTACCCTTTTTCGGGTGTGTCTAGTTTTTGACTCTAAATAGTAGCTACTGAAAAAGTAGCGTAACTCCAAGAGAGTTTTCAAGTTACCAAATTGGAAACTGCCCCCCAACTACAGTCCAAAATACTTTATGGTCTTACGGATGGAAGGAAGATCGTAATGAGGCTGCTATTAGGAAAGGATTCAAAGGATCCCAATACCAAGAAACTTTCAACCCCAGCCAGTCTTCAAAACTTTCAACCCATTCCGAGCAAAATCGTATCTTTTTTCTGTAGAAAATCCCCAATGGTAGGCCTTGAGTCTAACTGTCACAAGTGAAAAACTGTCGTCCTCCCATTCAAAATCGAAAAAGTTTAGTTGTAACTTTTATCTCGAACACCTTCAACACCTTTGCCACAGATCTCTGATTGGAAAGTTTCGGAATAAAAATTTACAAACTACAAAATTTCACAAGTGAAATACTTTTGGTTCCTAAATCCGTGAAGCTTTTTGGCCAAAACGTAGCCGACGCGTAAAATCGTTGCAGTAAAATCATGTGCGGCGGCTATGGTTGTGGCAGCTACGGTTATGGACCCTCAGGTCCATGTGGTGCCTGGTGTGGTTCGTACTGCGGCCCCTCGTGTGGACCCTGCTGTGGACCGTCGTGCGGTCCCTGCGGCTACTCAGGTGGCTGCTGTGGGTCCCTTGGATGCGGCCCAAGCGGACCGGCCTGTTGGCCATATGGACTGTACACATGCTGAGCTTCAGAAGGATTTAAGGAACCAATGAGAAGTTCCATCCAAACTCGTTAAACGAGAGGTGAGTACACCGCTCCGCACTAAACAAAGCAGACGCGCCACCATGCCACGCGTTGCCAATAAAAATTTCAACTCAATGGGTTGGTGGCGCATTTCAATAACTCGTCCTGGCACACAAAGGAGCTAGGTCGGAGTAGGGTGGCTAGAGCAACCGGCTGCCTTCGATTGTAAACAAAACTCTAATTTGAATTCTTCTTCTGGAGGAGAGAAGTCGCATCAGATGTGCAAAGGGAGAAGAGCGGATTTCATTACAGCAGAGAGGCCTTTGGATACCGTTGCCAGCCATTGAAAAGCGCGCAAAGAAAACACAGGTGTAAAAGGGGGGTCCGAAGAGGAGGAAGCTGGAGGAGCTCTCCATATGTGCTGCTTTCATTACAAAATTTTCTGATGCTTTGTGTTCATTGTTTATTTGGAAATGAAAGAGCGGCGGCAGTAAGGACCCGCAATCAGGGCCTCCTGCAGTGCATTCGAATTGAGGCAAGGCGCGCGCCCCCCATTGAGAGCGGAGCTAAATGCTAGCCATAAAAAAATTTGCCATGTGGCACAGCTTGATGTGCACTGAAATCTCATAAAGCTAAATATTAGCCATAAACACATATTAATCATATGAACACAGACTAAATCTTTCTATTTTCTTCATTGCAGGTTGGTGTCTTGGATTACATTTTTTGGCTAAACTGAAAATTGGATTAGGCGCTGGAAACAACTCATTAAAAAACTGGCAGCTATTGACATACAAAAATTTTGTCTATTGCTATAGGAGGGGGGTCGTGCAAACCTAATGCCAAAGGGAAAAATTTGTCCCTTAAGCCGTTAGTGCCTGCTGCCAGGAATCCCCAAGTCTTAACATGGCTGTACGCTTAAGCCACCAAACAAGCCAAGAGACCGGAGAGACACACAGAGACGGAGAGAGAGTAAGCCTCTCGCACCTTAGCAGGAACCGACAACTCCTGCTGTAGATGTGTGTACCCCCTTTCCTGGGAAAAGCCATTGCCAAACATGTCTCGGAAAATGGCTGGCGGCTAAAAAGTCTGCGTTTACTTTTTGGGGGGGGTCGCCTATGCGAAACTGAAAGTCATGCGTTTTCCGCGCTTTCCGGGACAGGGAACCAGCATGTTGATTTTACTTTTCAGCCTCTTGCTGTTCACATTTCTGTTCTTTTAAGGGAAAAAGTGGAAGTGGAAATGAAAATGGTAAAAGGATAGCAACTTGTGGATGCTGTGAGGGTTTTCGGGGTTTGGGGTTTGGGGTGACTTCCACTGTTTTGCCAGCAATGTCATGCTGTGTCACGTTATTTATTTTCGCTGTAATTTTTAAGCTGCTCCGAACCCGTTTTCCTTGTGTTTTTCTTTGCCACAAACTTGACGTCTTTAAATTAACATAAAAGAAACGTTAGGCTTTTCCATGGCGTTGTCGTAGATGTGTGGTGTGGGAGTGTGGGAGTGTGTGAGGCGTGGCATATGTGCCCATTCTGTTTAATTATTTTGTTAAGCAGTTGACACATAGCAGCGGCAGGGCCCGAGCGCTTTGAGCTGGCACTTTATGGCTAGGGCCGAAAAACTTCGTTTACTAAGCCGATAATACGGCAGAGAATCGTCGAGCCCTAGGTCCCGAAACTAACCCCAAACACGGGTGGGGCCTTGTGGAGCTCTGCCCACGATGCCCGCCACGATAAGCCTTAAAGCGCATTGTGGTCAGTTTTTCAGTGGGCCAGATCTCTTTTATTTCGGTTGGCCCTTTGCCCGTTATGTGGCCCAAAATCCTGTTATGGCCTAATCTCGAGGGTGGAACGAAGAGAGAGTGCGACATTTTCACATGTAACTGGAACCAAAATATGTCGCACCCTTGGCCACGCTGGTCAATGGGTTTTCTCCCCTTAAGTGGGTCGTAATTCCTTTTTGGCCACACATTGGGGTCTTTAGGGAGGGCAATAATGTGGGTGTGCGCCAAAACTGATTGGCTTGAGAACAGATATGGATGGAATGGCTCCTTCTTGAGATCTAAAAACCTCAAATGGCTAAGAAAAAACTCCGAAATTATTGCACTTTTTTGTAGCTTTGCATACTCGTATATTTGACTATATTATAGGCTTGGGTATAATCGATTAGACATAGTTTATCAAGGTGGGGTCTGGTGGCGCTGCTCGACTTGTATGGGCTATCGTGATCGTAATAGTACTGGTCTCGTCCAGGTCTAGACCGAGGGCTGAACGCAGCGCGTGTTCTCGGGTAGATCGCAGATGCCCTTCAGGGCGTTGAAGTACTTGTCGCCGCAGCTCACCTGCAGTGGCTTTCCATAGCGGCAGATGTAGTAGTTGTTGCAGCTCTTCAGGGAGGCCATCATGAAGCCATCGGGCTTGCTACGGCACACGTAGTTGGTGTAGGTGAGGATGTTCAGCTCCTGGGCCTGGGGGGTGGCCTGATGCTGCATTGCCTCCATGAGTAGTCCGGCAGGACGGGCAGGGGGGGCGGGTCTCACTTGCATGGAGGCGGGCTTCACAATGGCGGCTGCGCTGGCTCCGCTGCATGGAGTGGTGACCTGAACACAGGGTGTGGTGACCTCTACACAGGGTGTGGTGACCTCTACGCATGGGGTGGTGATCTCCACGCATGGGGTGGTGATCTCCACGCATGGGGTGGTGACCTCAACGCATGGGGTGGTGACCTCAACGCATGGGGTGGTGACCTCAACGCATGGTGTAGTTATTGTTGAACAAGTTGTTGTTGAACAGGTTGTTGTAGCAGAAGGAGTGGGTACACAGGGTGTTGCAGGTGTTGTGGGTACTTTGGGGGTTGTTACACAGGGTGTAGTGGAGGGTGTTGTTGTTGAACACGTGGTTGTTGTCGATGTGGTTGTTGAACAAGTTGTTGTTGTCGATGTTGTTGTTGAACAAGTTGTGGTTGTCGATGTTGTTGTTGTACACGTTGTTGTTGTTGATGTGGTTGTTGAACAAGTTGTGGTTGTCGATGTTGTTGTTGTACACGTTGTTGTTGTTGATGTGGTTGTTGAACAAGTTGTGGTTGTCGATGTTGTTGTTGTACACGTTGTTGTTGTAGAACTTGTTGTTGTTGTTGATGTGGTTGTTGAACAAGTTGTGGTTGTCGATGTTGTTGTTGTACACGTTGTTGTTGTAGAACTTGTTGTTGTTGTTGATGTGGTTGTTGAACAAGTTGTGGTTGTCGATGTTGTTGTTGTACACGTTGTTGTTGTTGTTGTTGATGTGGTTGTTGAACAAGTTGTGGTTGTCGATGTTGTTGTTGTACACGTTGTTGTTGTAGAGCTTGTTGTTGAACAGGTGGTTGTCGTCGCTGTTGTTGTCGAACAGGTGGTTGTTGGTGCAGACGGGGTAGTAGCACAGGGTGTTGTGGCAGCTGGTGTAGCGAGTGTTGTAACACAGGGTGTTTCCGGTACTTTGGGTGTGGTCACACAGGGTGTTGTGGCTGCTGGTGTAGCGGGGGTGCTTGCACACGGTGTTTCGGGTACTTTCGGTGTGGTTGCACAGGGTGTTTCGGGTGCCACCGTGGGGCAGGGTGTCGTGGGACATGGTGTCGTGGGACATGGTGTCGTGGGACAGGGTGTCGGTGTACAGGGAACAGCAGAATCAGCGGTGTCCGTAACCACCGCCGATGACTGTACTTCAATGCATCCGGTGTTGTAGTTGACACATCCCTGGACTTTGGCGTCAAAGAAGCGGGAGCATGTGCTTACCAGCGCCTGTCCTCCCTGGCACTCGTAGTACTGAGAGCAGCTTCCCGGCACAAGAGCCCTGAAGCCGTCGGACTTGTGGACGCACACATAGCGGCGATACAGCTGATTGTTGATGGCCGACGGTACGCTGGGCACAATGGCGGCACTGATACTGGCCACCAGCAAGGCGGCACAGGCAATTACTGCAATGGGGATACAGGGATATGGGTTAGTCCTTTCTATTTGGCAGCAGCCAATAGTAGTCGAAGATTCATACCGAATGTGCTCTTCATTCTTAGATGGCAGCTATTCCTTTTTGAGTGCGGGTTCTGGTCTCCTTGACAAGCTGGCGTACAAACTGCTGTACTGGAATGACAGTTTCGCAAGTGCCTCTGCCTTTTATACATGGCGTGGCGTACCGAAGATACGTATCTTTACATGGCCCAAGTGACCCTTATCGATGGGTCTAACATCTAGATGGGGCTCTGATATCTGTGCGTCTTCGGCGGCAACCTTGATTTTGAATTCACGCGGGGTTTGGGGGGGATGGGATGCTGCTTTGATACCGTGCGTTATCATCTGACGAATGTCATTTGGCCTAAACTTTTCAATTTCAATAATTATTTCGCACGAAATCAGAGCCGGGAACACGCGTGACACATCTTTTTTTCTCTCTCTCTCTCTCGGCAGCCACAACGTGCTATTAATTAAGAGTTTTAGACTGTCATCATTCGATATTCGACATCCGGACATCCTACATTCCACATACGAGGAGACCGTCCGCTCTGCCCCAACAAATACCACCCTCCCACCCAGTTTCCAGACCGAGTGTGTGTGTCCGTGCGGTCAGGGCCTGATGACGTTAATTTATCAAAGGAATTTACAATTGTTTAATTAATTAGATGCATGCCGCATACGCACAAAGACAGTGACTAGGGGAGACCGAGCGTAAAGACATGTCCAGCATGCCAGACAACAGCAGCAGCAGCAGCACATATTTGCTGTCCATGCGCTGGGCTAGGTCGGTGTTTGGTTAGGCGTAGACTGGGTTAGGGATTGGTCTCTGATCTGCCTCCGATTATTCCATTCTTTGTATTTAATTATTCGCTCCGTTATCATCTGGTGCGGCTACCCTACAACTACCAAAATGCTACTCATGCCCGATAAAATGCCACAGCGAACGTGTTGCAAACATGTGTTTTTATTTTCTGCTGAATGGGTTCCCCTCCCGATAACGATCAATAGAGCTGCCGGGGGGTCGCAAGTGCGTTCTATGTAATTACAATCAAATCGATAAGAAATCAAGTCAAGTACAGGTCGTGGTCGCTTTCGCTGTCGTTGTCGTTATCGTTTGTCGTGTTCGGGAGTTGACTTGAAAGCTCGTGCGTGCAAATCGCATGTACAATCATTTTTCATGTCACATCAAAAACAATTACCAAAGTCGAGACTTGAGGCGGATATTTCTCATATGCCCTTACAGCGATAATTTGTTCTTTTGCATGCAATTTTTACTTGAGAACAAATTGTGTACAAAAATAATTGCTGCATCATAGTTAAAATAAATTAAAATTCCAAGGAAAGAGAGTTTTTATAGAGCAAAAATAATGGAAGATTTCTTGGAACAAGTGAGGTCTTTTCTGTGGAGAAATACTTTCAAATGTGATGTGTGATAGCAGCAGCCGAATTCCTGTTTCCGTTTCCGTTAAAAAAAAAACGCCACCAGATTTGCCGAAATATATTGATAAAAGTTTTTAGTTGATACAGTATCTGATTTTCCCATGAACTTGTAATAACCATCTCAAATATTATCCAACAAATATCGGAACCATGCACATTAATTTCAAATTAGAATTCAATTTGGTCAAATCGGACATTAGCTGCGGCGGTCAGGGACACAAACTAATATCTGCAAAAATCCACACACAGCAGCAGCCAATGTGCTTGTTAACCCATAAAAAATGTCTGTCTATTACCGGCAATTACATTAAAATCTCGACTCTCCAACAACAACACCAGCAAATCTATATAATAAAACATTTCAACGAAATTGAATTGAGATTTTTGGGTTGATTTTTCTCGTTTTTTTTCAAACCCTTTCATAGAAAGGTGGCCAGCAAGAGTCATGGCTGAATGTCGTAATGGTCTTAATGGAGTAGAGAGTGGGCCCAACATTTTGGGTCAGCATCGCCTGCAGCGCATTAAGAGAAAGTTGCTGGGAGGCGAGGGCTCTAGAAAGGATAAAAAATCAATAGTTCAGTAGTTGAGAATTTAAATTTCTCGGCAGACAAACAAATTTTAAATGTTTCATGTTTTGTTGGGTTTTCTTTTGGGGCAGAGATTATTTATGCGACTTTATTTTACAGTTGACTTGAGGCAGACGAGAAACAAAAGGAGGAGCAGAAAGCAACTGAAAAAGAAATCACTTAACCCTTGAGCAACCCCCGACACATGCGAAATTGACTTGAATTATCGAATTTCGTATCGGGTCTCTGGTCTGGGTCTGCCACTGGCTCAGGCTATGACTCTGTGTGACCCTTTTATCCAACTTGAACTCGAGTTCAGTCGGCGGAATGGCGGGCGGCCCACACACACACATCACGGGGGGGAGGAGAATCAAACGGAATATAAATCAGTTTAATGATTTCTCTGCGAGCAAAAACAATGCAGAAAAAAGTGGCATAGGAAAGCAAAGGGACAGAGCGGTGGAGCAGTGGAGCGGTCTTCTGTGTTTGCTCTCCGCTTGGCGCCCGGAAACGGAAGCAGCGCCAGAGTGTGTGTGCGAAAAGATGGCTATACTCTTTGTGGCAGGGGGGGGGGGGGGGGGGG